TGCCCTGGGAAGGATATGGTGAATCAGTGCAGAACGCGCAGAAGCGAAGCTCGGGCAGCCTAATATGCTTGACAGTATTAACAGTGCTGCGTTAAGAAAAACGCCTCCTAGTTCTGTGCCTTCTGCTTGTCTGGGATCCTGCCCCTCCGCAGACTTCGGCCCGGAACACTGGAAAGGCAGGAGCTGAGCGCTGATGTCTGGCTGAGCAATTGGGTCGAATACTGCCGGCAGGCTTTCCTGCCTCTTTCTTCAGCTGTCAAAGCCGGAGTCTAGCTTTTTATTGATAAAAAGTAGTGGCTGACCATCGGAGGAAGGGCTTGGATATTCCCTCGTGGCCACAGCCTTTATCTCCTCGCGGCACAAGAATCCTATTTGCTCCCGTCCCGCACGAAATGCACACTTTGCAGTACTCAGGAGCTGTGTAAAGACAAGTTTTTATTTCTTTAAAAGTATTTGGTCCTAATAAAGTAGACCTTGTCAACGTCAGACCCCTCAAAGCAGTATGTATATGGAGGGAAGCAGCTCCTTGCGCAAATCCTTCCATATTCTCAGAGGCGCCCCCTCTTCCTCTATGGCACCCCGGCACTGGAGCGAGGCTAGACTTTGTCTGCTTTTAAAACTTTCCCTCATTGTGGCATAGTTCCTGTTGGTTTTTTAAAAACGTGAACACTCAAATCATACTCCACGACCCCCCCCCCTTTATTCAGAAGCTGTCGTCTAGGCTTTAAGAGGGTCACGAAGCGCAGCCTCCAACTATTATTTCCTTCCCGGCTCTTAGGCTGCCACGACCCAGCGCCGAAGTTTAAGGACTTTAATATCCTCTCTATTTAGATGGGGCGTGCTGAAAGCTTTCCCCTTGGAGCTGACCAGTTTGTAATTTGGGTTGGATCCACTCTTTGCTATTCTCGAGGTTACAGGATTAGCGTTAAGGGATGGAAGAGAGATGCTCTCTGCATCCTAAATATCTTTTGGGCAGGTTAGGGGAGCAGCACCTTCCTCGCCCAGCGCAAACGGAGTCATTGGACTTCGGCCCACTGTTTCCCACCGCGGCAATTAACAAGTGCATTGATTCCGAAGCGCCTCTGCTCCTTCTGTTTGATCAGGAAAAGCGGGGCAAGCAGGAGGCAAGGGGGTTTCTGCAGAGCAGGAACCGCTCCAGGTGCCCCCGCCACGCGCCCCTAACCCCCACCCGCCTGCTTTAGCTAGTTGCAAATTGAGGCCGCCACTGCTTGCACCTGCTCTGCAAGAGGGTGCTCGGGAGCGTGCTTTCTTCCTTCCCCTGTTGTTGCGAAAATGCGTTTCGAGTCCTTGTACCAGTTTCAAGTGTTAATGCATTTTTACTGTATGCGACTGAAAAGCAACGAGCCCCGCCATCCCCCCAATTTCAGCTGGCCACGTGGAGCGGGTTGAAGGGGAGAATCAGCAGCACGACCACTACACAAAAAGAAAAGGGTCTTTTGAATCCAAGCGCCTCAATAGCTTTCAATAGATTCCCTTTGGTAAATACATGGCACTCGCTGTTTGAACCTGCTGCCTCCAAAGATGAATTCCTTGTGTTTTATGTGGGGTGGCGTTTCCCCCCTTCTTCTACATTTAGAAAGAAGAGGGGCTTAAAAAACAACAGCACCCTAATGCTTTAGCCCTCTTATCTGCCGTCTACACTATTTAAAAGGATCGTGTTTTTATGTTATTTTTAAATATAGCTGAAAATGGTAGAAGAGGCCACGGACATAGAATTATAAGTGGGGCAAGAACAGCGTTGTGCGGTGGGCATTCCAGAGGGCTCCTTAATCCGAATTAGGTTGCTGATCCGTCATATTCAAATTAGAGGGAAGGCTATGCAGGGGGAAGGCCATGGAAGGGAACATGTTGGGAGAATATATATGGACTTCACATCAGAATCACGATTCACTGTCCTCAGCACCTGGATTTATTGGGGACTCCGAATTCAGCGACCTTTGATTCCTGCTGACGCAACAAACGGAGACCTGAAAGATCCGCTTTCCCATCTTTCATTCCTTTTAATCAGCTACTAAAACCATAGGCACAAATCCAGGGAGAACAAGTTCTGGGTAAACTCCGCGGAAATGAACGGAGTGCACAAACTGTTCCGGTCATCTTAACTGGGTTTGTGCAAAAGAAGGTCCGGCTGGAGTGTGTTCTGTTCCTGCGGGTTAGATTTTTATTAAAAGGAGCTCGGAAAGACTGAAATTCGCTAACAGCTGAGAGGTTTCAAAGCCCCCCCCCCCCCAATCTTGCTGTTACCACTGCTACAGGATAAACTAGGAGGCATAGACCAGTGTTACGTTTTCTGTGGGATGGGGAAAAAGCCCCGTCTCCTTGCCTGTCGGCGGCTCTGTCAAACCAAAGCACATTGGTGTTCTTGCTAACTTCAGCACCAGGGAGAAAAACAGCTCTGGGCTCGGGATGCTGCGAACACACCGGCAGGCAGGCAGAAGGGCAAGGAGGACTCCCCCTCGATCTTTCCTCTGTTTTAAGGAGCTGCTGAGAAAAAGCTGGAGAAAGTTGAGTCCTCGGTCCCGGCTGCTTCCTTGGCCTGTTGATCAGGATTGGCGGAGCCCCAGTTCCACCCCCCAACCCCCCAGGCAGGATCAGCTATGACTTTGCTGCTGCGTCAACGGAAGGAAGCCTCTCGATAGCTCCTGCAGGCGTTGTCTTGTCTGGAGAGGGAGGGCACAGCTCCCCTCTCCCCTTCTCCCCCCTCCATGGTGGGCCCCCCAGCAACACGTGCCTCTTGCTCTTCCAGATTGGCCGCGGTTCCCTTTCAATAGCAAGAGGTTAATTTCCTTGACAAAGGTGACAGGGAGGCAGGGGCGGGGGGGAGGAGAGGCACAGGGAGACAGGCAGACTCTTTTCTTTCGCCCCTTTTGGCTACTTGATTAGACCCCTTGATTTAGCATCAGATGTCAAACAGCAAAGTGCACGGGCTGGATTAAAATGTATGAGCCTCCTCCGGCCCCATCCTCTCCCTGTCTTTCGCTCGCTCCCTGCCAGAGCCACCGAGGGCGCCTTCATCAACTTTAAAGAAACTGTCAGAACGGCCCGTCCACCAGGAGCCTACTTAAACCAAATTAGCTGGGTTTTGAACCAGCTGATGCCCGAAACCCAAACGCGCTGGGCATAATCCAGGAGGAGCAGGAGGAGTTGGATTCTTCTGCATGAGCTCCTTTGACACGAAGCCCCTGGCACACTGAAGCGAGGTTTGCGGAGGAGACCTTCTTGCCGGGTTAGGCCTGTAGTGTGGAAGAGCGCGAGTTTCGCCAAGAGAATGAAATTTGTTGCAGGAAGCTCACTTGTGCCAGGCGGGAAAACCTCTGATCGAAGAAGAACAAAAAAGCGCACTGCGGCCACTTCAGGCTGCTGCTGCTTAGGCGGAAATATGGATCGCTTTGCGCGTCTGAGTGCGCATTGCAATACTGGCGAGCAAGTGTCACCTCGTAGCTCCTGGTGTGGAAAGAAATCTGTTAAGCACGGGACCTCCCTTGCAGGATCCTTTACCATAAACATCTTGAGGAAGTGGGAACGGGGAAGAAAAAAAAGAAAAAAACCCCATCACATCCTTTTATTCAATAAAGGCTTTTTTGCGCTTGCCTACCCTACAATTCTGATGTGTATTCACCCCTTGCAGCCTAATCCTATGCATAGTTACTAACAGTGTTTTTCCCCCCTTTAAACATGTTTAGGGGTACTCTCATTTTGACTCCAGAAAATCACCATTTTATAGTGCAGATCGGGACCAAAATACAAAGATTCACAAAATGTTTAGGGGTATGCGTCCCCCTCAGGAAAAAGCCCTGGTTACTAAGAAGTTAGCCCCACGGTGTTCAGTAAGCGCGTTCCAGATCCCAGCCTCCGGCGCGGAAAGGCGCGTGCCAAACAGGCCTGCCCCCCTCGGGCGCGAGGGACTCCCTGTTGCGCGTGGGGCCGGGTCCCCCGCCCCGAGCTCTCTGGGCGACTGCAAGGCCTCGCACCTTGCCCGTGGGCGAGGCGCCGAGAAGACGAAGGCGGGGGGGGGGGAGCAGGGCCGAGAGAGGCCGCCGGAGGAGGAGGAGGAGGCCCAGCGCGGCGCTGACCCGCTTTCTGCCGCGGACAAAGAAAGAGCCCGGCAGCCCGAAGCAACACGGCGCGCGCGCCTGCGCACCTTGGCCCTCTCCGGGGCTGCTTCGGCTCGGCGCCTTCGCCTCGCCCCCCTCTCTCGGCGCATCTTTCCTCGGGATTTTCCTTGTCCGAAGCCCCCGAAACAATCAGCCCCCCCGCTCCTCAATTTTCGCCGCTCCCTCTCCTGCATTTTAAACACTCTCCTTGACATATTTCGGCTCCATTCTTCCCCTTTGTTGCTATTTCGCTCCCGAGCCGCGCTCCATTCTCTCCCCCGACTCGGGCGCCCTCGCTCCCCCGGGGGGGCGGCATTGTCATGCTGATGGCTCTTTCGCTCCGGCGCCCCCCCGCCCGGGAGACACAAAGGCCCGGCACGTGCGCCTGCCCATAGAGGAGCAGCAGACCGTGGCGGGAGGCGGAGCTGGGCGTGTGCCGGGGGGGGGGGAGGGGGCGCCAGAAAGGGAAGAAAGAAAGAAAGAGAGAGAGGGAGGGAAGCGCCCAGCCCGCAGGTACATCTGCTGCCCTCCACCTCCGCCAGGCGCCCGCCCGCCCGCCCGCCCAGCGCGCCGCCTCAAAGCCCAGGGAGCAGCCGCGGGAAGCGCTGATTGGCTCCGGGCGGAGCAGGAGGCGCGAACAATGCTGTCCTCCCCCCTTAAAAAGCGGGCGGCCAGGCTGGGCGACTGGGGGGGCAGCGCGGCCAGGAGGAGGCGGCGGCGGCGAGCGAGCGAGCGAGCCAGGAAGGCGGGAAGGAGGCGCGGGCGAGGCGCCCCTCTGCGGAGGGAGCGCGGGCGACGAGCGGGAGGAGACCCGGAGTGGGGCGCCGGCGCCGCTCCCGGGCTGAGGCAGGCAGGCGCCTTGGCACCTCCCGGAGCCGCCCGAGGATGCCCCGCGGTTTCCTGGTGAAGAGGAGCCGCAGACCCACGCCCATCTCCTACCGGACCCGCTGCTGCTGCCCGGCGTCGGCGGCCGCCGAGGGAGGCGACCCGGCGCAGCTCCTGGGGCCCCCGCCGAGCCCCGGGCCGCTCTCGGCCTCGCAGCCCGCCGAGGCGCCTCTTCTGCTGGCGCCCGCGGCGCCGCACTTCGGGACGCCCGACGGCCCCGCCGCCCCGGCGCAGCCCCTGCGCAGCCCCGCGCGGGCCGTCAGCGAGGAGCGCAGCCTGCCCCTGGGCTCGCCGCTCTCGGCCGAGTCCTTTCCGGCGCCCGAGCCTCTGCTCCTGGGCCCCGGGGCCGAGCTCAAGCTCTGGGCGGTCGCGGCCATCGCCGCCGCCGCCCCGCCGCCTTCCCCGGCTCCGGCGGTGGCCCCGCAGCGCAGCCATGGCCCGAGCCCCGGCGCGTCCAAGCGGCCTCAGGGCCGGAAGGCCAAGGCGGCGCGCAAGCTGCACTTCGAGGATGAGGTGACGACGTCGCCGGTGCTGGGGCTGCGCATCAAAGAGGGCCCCCCCGAGCCCGCCTCGACGGCTCCGCAGCAGCAGCAGCAGCACCAGGCGGGCGCCGGCGGAGCATCGCGCGCGGGCGGCGCGCAGCCGCTGGGCGAGTTCATCTGCCAGCTGTGCAAGGAGCGCTACCCCGACCCGCTGGCCCTGGCGCAGCACAAGTGCTCGCGCATCGTGCGCGTCGAGTACCGCTGCCCGGAGTGCGACAAGCTCTTCAGCTGCCCGGCCAACCTGGCCTCGCACCGCCGCTGGCACAAGCCGCGGCCTCCCAGCGCCGCCAAGCCCAAGGCTGCGGCCGACGAGCCACCCGCCAAGGGAGGAGGCGGCAGCGGCAGCGGCAGCGAGAGGGACACGCCGAGCCCCGGCAGCGGAGGAGAGCCCGACGGCGGCGGCGGCGAGGAGTTCGCGTGCCCGCGCTGTGCCAAGCGCTTCCGCCGCCAGAGCGCCCTGCGCAAGCACCTGCCCCTGCACCACGAGCCGCCGGACGGGCCGGCCTCGGCGCGGGAGCCCCCGGACGCCTGCCCGCCCGAGGAGGCGGGCGCCCGCCCCAGCCCGCTGAGCTTGCCCGGGGAGTGCCACCCGTGCCCCGTGTGCGGCGAGCCCTTCGCCGGCAAGAGCGCCCAGGAGCGCCACCTGCGCCTGCTCCACGCCGCCCAGGCCTTTCCCTGCAAGTACTGCCCGGCCACCTTCTACAGCTCGCCGGGCCTGACCCGCCACATCAACAAGTGCCACCCGTCGGAGAACCGCCAGGTCATCTTGCTGCAGGTGCCCGTGCGCCCGGCCTGCTAGAGGGAGCCCAGCCGTGCCTTCCCCCGCAGCCCCGGAGGGCCTGCGGCGGGGCAACCGCGGGACTTCGACGCCCGCCACGGGGGCAGCGCGCCCCGTCTCGTAGAACCGCCGGCCTTTTGCCCCGGAGCATCTCTGCGATGGTGCTTCGGGCTTCTCTCCGCCGCCCCCCTGGAGCGCTGGCTCCGGAGCAGCTCCCTCCTCTACGCCCCCACTGCACTCGCGGGGGCTGCTCCAGGGGCCAGAGCTCCAGGGTTGGCTTCAACTTAAGATTTCCCTTTTCTCCCCCCCCCCCACCCGAAGTCAATCTTGAGAAATGATGGATGCCTTTACACTTCACAGGCTGTGAACTGAACCTTTCCCCCACTTGATTAGCTTTATTATGGCTTGTGAACCGCTGGGATCTGGCTTTACCTTTTCGCTGTGTGCTTTCTTCTCTTTTTTTAAATTTTCGATGTGAACAAAATCAATCTGCTTAAAGATATAACTTTGGTTAGTATAGCCACAAATGCCTTGACTTTAATCGTTGTTTGTCTCCCAAAAAATGTTGTAGAAGCTGCCTTAATACAATGACATGCCAATCTTTTTATGTTTGTTCCTTTTCGAAGTAGATCTCTATGTTGACGCTTATCTGTATATGTTGATTTATGCGTAATTGTTATTTATTCGTTATTTATTAATTATGGTGTTTATTTCTGACGTGCTTTGCCTCTCTCCCACCACCTCCTCCAGTTCGCCCCCTCCTGCCATTTCACTGTGCATTTTTAAGTCTTTTTTAAAGGGATCTGTTGAAAAGGGTTTAATTTTTATACCTAGAATAAACATACAACTGTAACCCTTCTCTTCTTGCTTCGAGGGCTCGCGGATAGCTCAGCTTCCTTTTAGATGCAATCTCTTTTCTACACAATTATTTTCTTAACTGTTAGCTATTTATAGAACGCTTCAATAGAACTGTTTTAACTGTCTAACTATTTACTATTGAAATAAAAGTATTTTCAAATTCAGATACACTTTATTCATTTCTGTTTTCATTTTACATTCATTTTGTACCGTAACCCTATCTACATTTCCTAGGAAGTAAGTCCCATGAGGTTTAAGGAGGCTTCTTTCTAACCGCATATGCATAGGATTGCAGCCTTATTTCCTATTAAAAATTCCTGGTTTTCGATTCATGGTTTGTCTGTTTTTAAAATGGCAAAAGCCAATCAAAGTTAATAATCCTTAAATTGGTGGATCTGAATTGACTCCGTAATTATTTATTGTTCAGAGATTACCTTTTGATAAAGCGTCCAGATTTTAAAAAGCTTAGTAGGTAGGTTACAAGGTTCACAGAGCCTCAGCACTGACGCGTCTCTTCATTGCCACGGCTCAACCTTGGAGTCACGCATTAAGGCAGTGAATGGAGGCGCCCCCACCCCAAGGGCTGGGGGGGGGGCATCTTTCAGATCAGAGTGCGGGTGTTTTCGGGCAAAGGAGAAATTAAGAACCGCTAATGGCAGCCTGCGAGTTGGATTCGTTTTGCAAGCATCCTTCGGAGTTTCGAGCTCGCGATGCTGGGGCGGGAAGCGTCCTCCGGAGAAAAGCCCCGCTGCGCTGCGGCTCCTCCGAGCTTTTCCAAGGATGCTTTCGAGTGTTCAAAGTGGCGAAAGTTCGCCCAATGCCTCCTTCCTCTTGCCCTTGCCCTCGGGAGAAGGGCGGCGTCGAGGTGTCGCTGGGCGCCCCGGTCCCTTCCGCGGGGAGAAGCGCAGGGAGGTCCCTCTCCGCAGGCGCTTCGCCGCCGGAGCTCCAGGGTCAGCCCTGGACGGGAGGAAAGGGGCGCTGCCCAGCGGTGCTTGTTCGCCCCGGCGCCTCGCTTCTTTCGCGGGGCAAGAGGAAGGAAAGCCGCGAACCTCCTCCCCGCCGCAGCCCGGCTTCGCTCCTTTCGCCGAACTTTCGCCCCTCCGCCAATCTCGCGCAGCGCCCCCTCCCACCCCGGGCCATGGGGGGGGGCAGGGGGGGCCAGCCGAGCCCTTGGACCCCAGCGGGCCAAGTGCTTTCGCTTCTGGCTGCCCCACGGGCGAGGGAGACGCTCGCGGTGCTTCTCGCGGGCAGCCCGCTCAAGCTTCCTCAGAAGGACTGCTCCAGATATGTGAAGTTGAGGAAGGGCGCGCCTGGCAAAGGTCACCAGAACGGGCTTCAAAATCGACCCCCCCCCGCCTCCTCAAAATGGCCACCGCCGCCCTCCGAGGGGAGCAGCGGGCCTACGAGCCCGGCCGCAGGGGCGCCTCAGCAGCGCGGAATGGCGGGAAGCCGAGAGGCCTCTTCCCTCAGGCTTGGGAGGCGGAGTAGGCCCAGGCCAAGGGAGCAGCAGCAGCGCCGGCCCAATGTCACCTGAGGAGAACCACAAAATGGCGCCCCCCTCCCTGCCGAGCAAAGAGAGGTGAGGAAAGATTACATCAGGAACAAGGGAGGGAGGTACTAAAGAGCGAGGATTCTGTAGGTCTACCTTGGGATCTGCTACCACCAGCGTGGATTTTGCTGCCTGAGGCTGCGGCCTCCCCTTGCCTCTCGGGCGGCCCTGAGGAGCCAGGGCTCTCTCTCCCTTGCCCTCTGAGCCTTCCTTTTGGGGCGAGAACAGAGGGACCCTCTTCCTCCTTCACAGGTGGGCTGGGAATGGAGCAGAGAAACGTAGCCAACGGGCATAAGAGAAGAGAATCCGCATTAGCTCTGTCTTCTCAACCTCATTCCTTTCAGGTGTGGCCATGTTGTTGGTTCCGCACTCCAGGCAGGGAAAGGAGGATCCGACAGCCGTGGTGAGCAGGGAGGCCCCCAAGGAGAAGGGCCTTTGTAGCCAGGGGGGATTTGGACCCAGGGTCCAAGGCTTGCTCTTAGATATTTAATTTTTTAAAGGGGGGGACACCTGGAGTCTAACATGGAGAGGGCAAACAGGTTGGCTACTATCCCTTTCTAGTAACATTTCTTGTACTTATTTATTTATGCCAAGTAATAGGTGATTTATTCTTCAAGAGCACCTGTGATCTGAAATTGGGGCAGGGTGGAGGGGGAAGGGAAGGAATGGGATTGTCCTCCTTAAATAGTGATTTTGTGAGCCTTTGTAAGCACATGAAATGAGCACAGGTGTTGGGCCCAATCCAGCAGAAGATTGTTCTTCAAAGTGAATAGAAGCTGCCTAGGCAGTGGTATCTTGTGCCCATTGGGTTGAGAGTTGCTCAATTGGCATTTGCCACTTTAAAGCTGAGGATCATTATTTGTTCAACCTGTACAGTTTCCTGCTCAGTGCCACTTCATTGCTCGTTTGCAGTGGAGGACTAGGCTCACCGAAAGGAAGAGAAGATGAATTTTAGAACAGTTTCTCCCAAGGTTATTCCCTGGTTTGCAAAATAATGAACCTTTCAACCTTTTCTGAGACGCCCTTTCCTTTAGCATCATAGGGAGAAATTTCATGTCATCTGCATTGTTTTCCCCATAGAGTCAGCCCACAAATTCAGCTGCCAATGAACCACTGAGCCTAAAGTGATAGGCAGGCATATGTGTTCCTGACCTCAGCCACACATTGCAACTGTGCCTTCAAAGTACTCTAAAACCAATAATGGCAAAAATATTAATTTTTCCCTAACCAAAAGATGGAAATATCTCAGGGTGCTTTCAAGAGTTTTCACCTAGGACACCCCCTCTCTTTTAAAGAAGACCAGATGTAAACACGCAGTAGTCTGCTTTTCTCACCTCTGCAGCAGAAACTGTGCCTGCTTGAATTCCTTCTTCTAGTGCATACTTTAAAAATTTACAGGAAACCTTTCTTCCTTTGCAACATCAGAAACTGGAACCTACAAGAAGAGTGGAACTTAATGGTGGGGGAAATAGGATAATCTTTTATTGATTTAAAATATTTATCCCCTGCTTTTCGTAAACAAAGCTTAAGGTGGCTAACAACAATAATTAAAGCAATTATAAAATAACAGTAAAATAGTAAAAGCAGCAAAATTAAAAGTACAAACTGCAATTAAGTAAGTGAACTTCTAGCAAATCAAGACCAAATCATGGAGAATGCAACCACTCATGGTCCAGAAGCCTTATCCTAAAAGAAAAGTGTTCAACAACCTAGTGCTAAAAGGGGGGCAAGATAAGTCTAGGGAGGGAGTTACGGAACCTGGGCACAGCAGGTTCTGACACACTGTCTCAGCTGAACATACTTTTTGGGACAATGACACACATTAGGAAGGTCTGAGATCAGCAGAGAAAATAATTGAAATCCATTGCTTTTAAAAACTTTTTTATTGTGAGGATTAACCTTAGAATGTGACACTTGTTTTGAGGTTTAGTTCTTGGGGATGTTTTCTTCACTTGGGGGCTTTAGCTGTGCAATTTCAGCAGCATAATGTGTGATGTGCTATACAGTGGCACCTCAGGTTAAGAACTTAATTTGTTCTGGAGGTCTGTTCTTAACCTGAAACTGTTCTTAACCTGAAGCACCACTTTAGCTAATGGGGCCTCCTCCCACCGTGCCGCCGGAGCATGATTTCTGTTCTCATCCTGAAGCAAAGTTCTTAACCTGAGGTAATATTTCTGGGTTAGCCGAGTCTGTAACCTGAAGCATATATAACCTGAAGCGTATGTAACCCGAGTTACCACTGTAGTGCTTCATAGTTTCTGATCAACAGTGTTAAAATTGCCACTATTAAGTTTTTTTGTTGCAATTCTATATATACACAGTTACCTGAGAGTAAGTTCTATTGAAATCAGTTGTGTACAATTGCTTTGAGGGATAGATTGAACAACACAGGTCAGTTTACTTCCAAATAAGCATGCATAGGATTGCACTGCCTATGGGGGAGGAAGCTGACTTAGGAGACTTGGTAGACACAGGGGAATTGCTAACTTCTGTTGTAATGACATGTCATGGTTGCGATGAACTGAATGCTTCTAAATATATGCAGGGGACTGTGTGCATTTTGAATTCACCTTTCAGGCACTTAGTTAATATACATGGAATAGTGCTTTAATAAGTTTACTTATCAAAGAAGTTACCTGTTGGCATGGCATATTTGTGTTCAGGATGGAAGAGAAGGACCTGCTCTGCTGATGTGCATTTACACACAGCATGGAGAGGCATATGGACTGAGGCTATATAAGGCTATGCCACTTCCTCCCCACCTCTTCAGTTTCCAGCAACCACCTTACCCTCCTAGGACTCAGTGTAGGAACTTTGCAGGTTGCCCAAGGGACCAAGTAGGAGCTTTTTGCCTGCATGCATATTGGCCTGGTGAGTGGTCTTCTACTGCTTTATTCTATACTGTATTTGGGAGACTGGTTAGTTGGTGGTGCCATTCAATTGGTTAATTTGGTCACTTATGGAGGCAGTGACATCACGGCAAGGCATGATGGAATTCATTTTGTGCTGATGGAATAGGACTAAAAGACTGGAATTACGATGATGCTTAATAGATCTATTGCCTGGTATATACTGTAGGGCTGGGTGATATTGCCAGCTAAACTTTGCTATATCAGATGTTGGATGTTGGAAGGAGGTGGGAAGGAAGAAGGCAGTTAATGTAACCGTGTGCAGCTTCTGCCTCTTCCTGGTGAGGCTGGGCGGACAGCACTGCTCTGGGTGGAGCGCAGCACCCAGAGTGCTGCATGGCATGGTAAAGGTAAAAAAAGACAAAGGACTCCTGGATGGTTAAGTCCAGTCAAAGGCGACCATGGGATTGCGGCGCTCATCTTGCTTTCAGGCTGCGGGAGCTGGCGTTTGTCTACAGACAGCTTTCCGTGTCATGACTAAACTGCTTCTGGTGCAATGGAACACCGTGACAGAAACCAGAGCGCATGGGTGGTGCTGTGGTCTAAACCACTGAGCCTCTTGGGCTTGCTGATCAGAAGGTTGGTGGTTCGAATCCCCATGACGAAGTGAGCTCCCGTTGCTCTGTCCCAGCTCCTGCCAACCTAGCAATTCGAAAGCATTCCAGTGCAATTAGATAAAAAGGGACCGCTGCGGCAGGAAGGTAAATGGCATGGCATGGTACTACAGAGCCGCTGGCCTCCCCTGAACTGCCAGCTGCGGCTCACCCCAATGATAGTCTTGCTGCACAAGTGGCAGCTGCTGGGAGCCACCATTCCACGGGGTGAGGAGGAACAGAGGGAGAAGGCAGCCTGCCAATGCTAACGCAGCCGGGGGGAAAAACGAACACACTGGAAGGCTGGCTGGCAGGCAGGCAGGCAAGCCCCACTCTCAAGGCCAGCAACTGGGCTGCGGAGGGAAGGAGGGAGGGAGTGGGTGAGCACCAGGCAGCCTGACTGAAGGGCGTGATGTTGGCTGCAAGCAGGCTGGGGGATTCGCGATACATTGCCTGATTGGAAATTCTGAAATCACTCTTGTGATTTTACATTTAAAATAAATGTATTGATACGTCGCCCAGGCCTAATATGCTCCATAATTTTAAATTAATCTTCTAATGCCACAATTAACTGCAGTAACTTGGAGTGTAAATGGCCTGGGTACAACAATTAAAAGAATAAGGTTTGCTTTAAAGCAAGATAACCCAGACCTTATTTTTTAAAAAAGAGACATTTTTTTAAAAAAATGAAACACAATACTGCTACAAAATCCTTCCAAGTGGAGGTGGAGATTGGTACGCCTTACAAGGTACTTCCAAAAGTAGAGGGTCAGCAATCTAGAATTCACCCAAACTTGAGTTTCAGTTAAAAGTTATACTAAGTGACACTAATGGAAGATTTAGCTTCTTCAAATGTCAGTTAGATAACTCCTGGCTGACACTGTGTTCTATTTATGTACCTAATACCCAACAAAAACAGTTTCTGGATGAAGCTTTTATATTACTGCATAACATAAATCCTCACACAATTGGCTGCTTTTCCTCTTACAGTGGTGCCTCGCAAGACGAAATTAATCCGTTCCGCGACGTCTAGTGGTTTTTTGTCTTGCGAAGCAACCCTATTAGCGGCTTGGCGGATTAGCGCTATTAGCGGTTTAGCGGCTATTAAAGGCTTAGCGGCTTAGCGGCTAAAAGGCTATTAGCGGCTTAGAAAAAGGGGGGGGGAGCGAGAAAAATCTCAAGACTCGCAAGACATTTTCGTCTTGCGAAGCAAGCCCATAGGGAAATTCGTCCTGCGAAGCGCATTGAAAAACGGAAAACCCTTTCGTCTAGCGGGTTTTTCGTCTTGCGAGGCATTCGTCTTGCGGGGCACCACTGTACTTCATTAAGACTAAAATGGGGAAAATACTTTGGGGAAGAATCAGAGGAACAGCTCTGGGAACATATTTGGGATAATAATAATATTTTTATTATTTATACCCTGCCCATCTGGCTGAG